TTTCACAGGAGCTTGGGTATTTGGCATAAATCAGGATATTTAAAATTTCATCGAGCACTGGCTCATCTAAGAGGTGGTATCCTCATGGTTTTATACAGATTTAATCTCTGAGGATCTGATAGAGTTAAGTGTGTGCAGCCTCTAAGGTATACACAGTCATACCAGCATGATTGTTTCTATTGGTATTACCACAGGATGAATTTTTTCAACTCCTTATAAACAATACATTAGTTGAATAATGGTATTGTGAGCCTGTTTGTGAATTTGGGTTGAAGTCAATAAATTCAAGATGGGGTAACTTTTTAAGAAAATGGCAAAATAGCGAATCTGCCATTTTTAAAATGAAAGACTTTTGTTATAGAAGTGTGGGAATGTTTTTTTTCTTTATTGTTTTAAACAATATTTCTACGTGTTTCAAAAGGACATTTTTTTGTTGTTGAAGAAAGCAGTGGCGACTCGTAGGGGTTGCACAGGGGTGCATGTGGATCCCCTGAGAGCACTGGTGCATCCCCTGTCAGGCTGCGCTCCCTGTTTAAACAACGGGCAGGGGGGCAGGCGGGAGTGCCGGTGCCCCCTGAGTGCTGGCCAGGGAGCGGAGCTGCCAGCAAAAGCAGCTGTGCCACTTCCAGAAATGGCCACGGGACTTCTGGAAGCGGCATAGCCGCTTTTTGGTGAGTGAGATTGCCTGCATGGGGACCCCCGCCCCCTCGGTCAGTGAGATGGGCTGCTGGCCACCCCCCCACTCCGGTCACTGGGGGCGGGGGGGCCGCCCCCCCCCCCCCCCCCCCGACTCAAGGCACCAGTCACCCATGGAAGAAAGGCACCTAAATGAAAGAAAGCTGAAATAGCTGCCTATGCCTTTGGCTTGCTGATTCTTTGTCTGGTGGGCTGTGTGTGTGTTTGGGGTGCGTGCTTGGAGGAGCTGGAAGTATTGCCGGTGGAGTGATTCCTGCCTGGGCCTGACAGAAACCCTAATGAGGGGCCGGAGCCAGTCCAGGCCCAGCAGGGTATAAAAGGGGAGTCCCTGAGCAACCAAGGAGCCACCAAACAGGGGCTGCAAACAGGGTAAGCCGCCTGCAAGCAGTTCACAGGTCAGTTTGGCCCTCCCCACCCACCCTTTTGAGGGGAGAGCCTTTTAGTTTGATGTGAGGAAGCAGGAAACAAGGCACTTTTGGGGGCCAATGACCAGTAAACAGGCCAGCTCCTAGGCAAGCTTGTTATAGGGAAGGTGTGCTTGGAAGAAGAGCAATAAGAGAGAAGAAGCAGATTAAGAGACTCAGGGAAATAGCTGGGGGATGTTGCAATGCCAGAGCCACTGCCACTGCCTCTGCTTGCACCTGTGAGGTGTCTGTCCAGGCAGGACTGCTCACCATTGAGGCTTACACCCCAGTTCTGGTTTGGTGCAGTGGGGCCTGCGGCTTGCAGGTTCCTTCCAGTGACAGCCAGCCGGGGGGGGTGCCTGCAGTGTGAGCGGTGCCTCCTGGTGGTGTCTCTCAGGGAACTGGTAAGAGAGCTACTGGAGGGAGATGGTGAGGCCCCAAAGCATCCTCTGCCATGAGGAGTTCATCAATTCAATGCTGAAGGAGACCTCTGGGACTGTGGAGGAAGAGCTGCCGGAGGAAGAGCTGCCAGAGGCAGCACTACAGAAGCGAGGACATGGACTCCCAGGAGGGTGGAAGCTGGAAGCTTGTGACCTAGCAGCAAGCAGAAAGCTTCACTTCCACCTGCAGCAATTTGTCTGGAGAACAGATCCGTAGCCCTGGTAATACATGGTCCTGGCAACAGAAAGGGAGGAGCATGCTCCATTGGTGGAGGAAGACAGGCCAGGCCTCACCGAGGTGGGAAGGATTGAGACAACCACCGTGGTGGTAGTTGGAGACTCCCTTCCGTGGGTGCTGAGGGAGTTGGCTGATGAGATCACAGAGCCACTGGCCATCATCTTTAAAAACTCACGCCAATCAGGAGAGGCCCTGGATGTTTGGAAAAGGGCAAACATTAATGCCCATATTTAAGAAAGGGAAAAGAGGATTCAAGGAATGGATCCTCAGCCATGCCCGAGTCCCTGGAAAAATCATAGAGCACATCTTCAAGGAATCCATTTCTAGCACTTGGAGAAGAAGGTGATCAGGAACAGGCAGCATGGATTCACCAGGGGCAAGTCATGCCTGACCAGCCTGATTGCCTATGATGAGGTGACTGGCTCTGTGGAGGTGGGGAGACCAGTGGATGTGATGATATACCTTGATTTTAGCAAGGCTTTTGGTACTGTCTCCCACAACATTTTTGCAGGCAAGCAAAAGGAAGCACAGGCTGGATGAATGGACTGTAGAGTGGATAGAAAACTGGCTGAAGTATTGGGCTCAGAGGGTAGTAATCAATGGCTCAATGTGTAGTTGGCAGCTGGTATCATAGTGGAGTCCCCCAGGGGAAAGTCCTGGGACTGGTTTTGTTCAGTGTCTTCATCAACGACCTGAAAGATGGCTTAGAGTGCACCCTCAGCAAGTAAATTCCTCAAAGTGAATTTACAAAACACCTTTCACAGACAAGCTTATGAATTTCACTTCATCAACCTGCTGGATACAACAAATCATGGACTAAATATAGACATTGGATTTATGACACGTTATAACCTGCCTAACATCTGATACACCAGGTAGCCTCTATACTATTTACCAGATATATGTCTTATCACCAGGTCTACATTCCCCTTCCCATGCCATCTGTCTGTCACCCACTGACTGCCTCAGTTTGCATTTTCACTGACTGGCATCCTCACAGGCATACTGGCTTCTATGCTATTCCATCCAGGAAGAGCACAGATCAACTGCAGATGCTTCCTCAGCCTGATAATGGGTATTTGTACCTGAAAGCTTGCAAAGAAGAAATTTTCCAGCTGTTTTAGTTGATCTAATAAAAGATATCAAATTTACCCAAAGAACCTTGTCTGCCTATGTCCTTAGTTCAACACGGCTACAACCTATACCCTTCAGCAAGTTTGCAGATGACACCAAACTTGGGGAAGTAGTAGATATACTGGAGGTAGGGCTAGGTTCAGAGTGACTTGGACAAATTGGAGGATTGGGCCAAAAGAAATCTCATAAGGTTCAACAAGGACAAGTGCAAGGTCCTGCATTTAGGACAAAATAAACCCATGTTGGGGGCTGAAAAGTACCATGCTGGGGGTTCTGCAGAAAAGGACTTGGGGCTTAATATGAGCCAGCAGTGTGCCCTTGTTGCAAAGGAGGCTAATGGCATACTGGGCTGCATTGGTAGGTTTGTTTCCAGTAGGTCAAGGGAAGTGATTATTCCTTTCTATTCAACACTGTTGAGGCCACATCTGGAGCACTGTGTTCAGTTTTGGGCTCCCTGCTACTGAAAGGACGTAGACAAATTGGATAGGGTCCAGAGCAGGTGAGGGGGCTGGGGAACATGACTTATGGGGAAAGACTGAGGGAACTGGGCTTATTTAGCTTAGAGAAGGAGACTGAGAGGGGATTTAATAAGAGCCTTCAACTACCTGGAGGAGGGTTCGAAAGAGGTTGGAGCTAGATTGTTCCCACTGGTGGTAGATGACGGAACAAGGAGCAATGATCTCAAGTTGTAGCAATGGAAGCTTAGGTTAGATATTAGGAAGAATATTCTTACTAGGAAGTTAGCAAAGCACTGGAACAGGTTACCCAGAGAGGTTGTGGGAATCTCCATCCTTGGAGGTTTTTAAGACCCAGCTAGACAAAGCATTTGCTGGGAAGATCTAGTTGGAGATGGTCCTTCCTTGAGCAGGGGGCTGGACTAGATGACCTTCTGAGGTCCTTTCCAACACTAACTTTCTATGATTTTTAAAACGAGGGGGGAAAAAAGAGAAAGTTTTAAAGAAATTAAAATGAAAACAAAGCAGTTTGTTCTATGGCAAAGAAAAAATTTCAGGTGGGACCAAATTAATTTTTTTGTGTATTTTGCCAATAATTAAAAAGATCTACTTTGATTTAACCCAAAAAAATTTATCCCCTGGTATTTATTTATTTTTAGTTTGGCCAGAAAACTGAAAATCCATCATTCACTCCGATGCAATTGGTACGGGTTATTCTGATAAGGCAGGGACAGGCAATTATTTTGGGTGGAGGGCCGCTTACTGAGTTTTGGCAAGCCATCAAGGGCCATATTACAAGCAGCCAGGGGCAGATTAATATTTATTTTCTAAATTTTTAGGGGCCCTGTGGGTCGGATAGAACGGCCTGGAGGGCCACATCCGGCCTGTGGGCCATATTTTACTCGCCCTTGTGTTAAGGCATCTGACTTGGCCTGCATAGGTTAGATTAAGGCTCTATGTGGTGCTTTCATGCAGATGTGTGTTTAATTCACACTGAGCAGCATGCATGGGTCAGGATCACAGG